CTGTGCTCTCGGATTTCAACCATCTCACTCTGACGCCAGTCTCTTCATTCGGACCCGTCCCAGCCGCTTCTTCGTCCTAGTCTATGTTGACGACATGGTGCTCCTCGCCGACACCTCCGCCGACATGACCGACGTTAAGGAAGAACTACAAGCTCGTCTCCAGTGCAAGGACCTTGGCGAATTACGCCACTACTTGGGCATGGAGATCACACGCGATCGAGCTGCCCGCACCATCACCTTATCTCAATCTCACTATCTTCAGCAGGTGTTGGAGCGGTTCGACATGGCTCTCGCCAACCCAGTGGCCACTCCCCTTCCATTCGGCCATGGGCTTGCTCCACCCACCTCCCCCTCCGCCTCCACTCAGCCCTATGCGGAACTGGTTGGCTCCATCATGTATGCCATGATGGGGACCCGTCCCGACCTCGCCTACCCCATCAGCGTCCTGGCGCGTTTCGTCGGTACCGGTCGTCACACCTCCGTGCATTGGAGAGCCGCCAAACGAGTCCTACGCTACCTCCGTGGCACTCAGGACCATGTTCTCACCCTTGGTGGTGCCTCTCCCCCGCTCCTCACCGGCTTCAGTGACTCGTCTTGGTCAGACTCTCAGCCGGATCGCCGCTCTTCCCAAGGATATGGCTTCACGCTCGGTAGCGGCTTGGTCAGCTGGCGCTCCACCCGCTCCTCCGCCATCGCCCTCTCATCTTGTGAAGCCGAACTCTATGCTGGTACCATGGCTGCGCAGGAAGGACGCTGGCTTTCCTTCTTGCTAGCCGAGCTTGGGGCCCCCCAGCCATGCCCCACGCTCTGGTGCGACAACGCCAGCACGATCCACCTCACCAAGAATCCGGTCTTCCACGGGCGCTCCAAACACATCGAACTACGCTACTTCTACATTCGCGATCTTGTCCAGCAAGGCCATCTTGCCGTCCGAAAAATTGCCGCCGAAGCCAACCTCGCTGACATCTTCACCAAAGCTCTTCCGAAGCTAGCCCACCGGGCCTTCCTTCGCCTTCTTGGCCTCTCCCCGGCTTCATGATTCCGGGGTTGTGCACACTTATAAACCTCTTATGCTACGGGGTTGTGTTAGAATATAGCATAATGTATGTTTATATTTGTGCATGTGTTACACCCTAAAGTGGGTGTACACTTTGGGTCAAGGCGACCCAACCAATTTTGGTTGGGCAGCCCCAAACCCAACTCGACCGCAATTGACGGGGGGGGGCCAATAATGGTCCCCTCCAACGATTGTTGGTTACCCCAGCAATTGTTGGTCGACCCAATCTGATTGGTCCACCAATAAATGCTGAGGGTACCCCACTTCGTTCCCAAAACTTCTCATCTCCTATATGTACCGACACTCTTTCTAATCAAGACAACACTTGAGATTCTTTCAGCAGCGGCGATCAGCGGAAGCGGGCGCGCACTTCTTCCCCCTGCAGCGCGCGGAAGACGCACCCAGCAGGGAGGAGATACACCGCCGGATCCTCGGGCCCAAAGTGAGTGCGGGGTGGAGGGGTGCCGACTGGCGTAATGCATCATGCATTATGCATCCCTTTATGCCGTGGGACGTATGAGAAGGGACGAGATTCCTGCGAGATTGCTCATGGCGCCGCTGCATAGCACTGAGTGGACAGCCATAAAGTAGCCGCTGCCCTTTCGTTGGCACGCAACTTGTCGGGCCTTGGACTTTCGCAATGGCTGTTTGCAATTGACTCAGTCGTGTGTCTCCGCGTGGCTGTGATGCTTCCATCCGTGACTTGCGCAGGGCCTGGGAGGTGGCTTGAAGGGCAACGTAGAGTCAAGCAAGGCATCTGATGTGAGTGAGCACCGCTGGCGACACAACACAATGCTGCTGGTAGTCCTATTCCTGCAGTCTAATAGCGTGGTGCGATCTCAGGCAGTCATTTGTGGAACGGTGGCAAGTGACAGGTGGCAGGTGTAACGCCTGCGGGCTTACACGAATGAGTTGAAAAGCATCTGCTGTGCAACTGAAAGGCTTTAATAAACACCCCCGTTTTGACCCGGTGGGGCCGTGATAGTCGACATTTGACCATTCTGCCTGCCATTCGCCCATTAGCCTTGCTCGGGCTGAGCTGGGACTCGGAAGCACCGCTCTGCGCGACCCATCCCCTACCTTGCACTTGCCTCGTAGCGAACCTCCCACCTGCCTCTTCAATTCTGCCTCGTCGCATGCATGCTGTTGGTGTTGCCGCCTCAAGTCGTCTCGCCTCACATGGGCTGTCCCGCCTACCCACCCACCCACCTGGTTGCTGGTTGTTATCACTGCGTGCCTGCATCCCTGCGTGCCTGCATCCCTGCGTGCCTGCATCCCTGCGTGCCTGCATCCCTGCGTGCCTGCATCCCTGCGTGCCTGCATCCCTGCGTGCCTGCATCCCTGCGTGCCTGCATCCCTGCGTGCCTGCATCCCTGCGTGCCTGCATCCCTGCTTGCGTGCATCACTGCTTGCGTGCAGACAACGTATTATCAGCCAATGAAGGACTTCGACAGCACGCTGGTCTCAACGGCCAACGGCACAATGGGCAACACCATGGTCAACTACAGCACCACCATCAACGACAAGAAGATCCCTCTCCTGTATGCCCCGCCGTTCTCCTCTCGCTGCATGCCACTCGTAGCATGCCACTCGCAGCATCTCACTTTCACCAACAGTAGGAGTGTGCCTACCCACCTTTTTTCCTCCCACCTTTCACCTGCCCCCCATTCCAATTCCCCATTGTGTGACCTCCCTTCTTCTCCTCTTTCCACCATCGGGCACATCTCTGTCTCCCTCGCACCAGCGTGTATCCGTACTACGTGAACCTCAAGCTGGGGTCGAGGAAGCAGGAGTTCAGCATGGCGCTCAACCTCGTTGTGTCTTCTGTGTTTGTGCCCTGCGACTGCCTGCACTGCGGCTCCATGCGCAAGGGGGTGCATGGGGTTCCGCCCTCAGCGCACCCACCCACACATTCACCCTCTCACCCACACACTCACCCTCTCACCCACACATTCACCCTCTCACCCACACATTCACCCTCTCACCCACACATTCACCCTCTCACCCACGCTCTGGGGAATCTGCGGGGAGGGAATGAGAGTGGCGGCCTGGGGGTGGGAGGGTGAAATTAGGACATGATTGAGAGGGAGGTGAGTGCGAGTGGGAGTGAGGTGAGAGGTAGAGACTGACGGTGTGTGGAGGGATGCAATCGAGTTACAGCCATGGCCCCTAGTCCCTTCCTTAACCCATTCTGCATACACCCCCCTTTTTATGAAGCCTTTAGTTCCTGCTGAAGCCTGAGTTTGCCTGTAGCTTTCTCTCCCATTACGTTGTGACAACACACGTGTGAATTATTCCTGTTCCTGTTACAAGATCAAGTAAATCCTGCCTCTCGCCCCCCACCCTCCCCCGTACTCGCCCCATCCTCTTCAACCCTAGCCACAACGCCTTCAGGCCCCTCTCGACTCTCTGCACACTGACTACAGCAAGCCGTTCCCCTCTAGCCTCACCTCACGTTCCCCTCCTTCCCCTCCCCTGGCTCTCTTTCCCTCTCCCTCTCCCTCTCCCTCTCCCTCTCCCTCTCGCCCTCCCTCTCGCTCTCGCTCTCCCGCAGACCACCTACAGCAAGCCCTTCAGCACGCTCTCCTCCACAACCCTCAAGTACATCTCCTGTGTCGACCAGCGCTGCATGGCCGGCACAGGAAATGGCAACTTCGGCTGCAACACAGAGGGGCTCCCCAACTACATCAACACCACGGGCATGCTGCCTGGGGACGACGCTCTCTGCGTGTACGATGCAAGCGGAGGCTACGATTACTACGAAGCTGACTATGAGCCGGGATCGAGTATTCGGTCAGTGGGGCATGTGGTGGAGGACACTGTCTACCTCACTGCACCTGATGGTACCGAAGTCAACCGATCCATCATTTTTGGGTGAGACTCTCTCCTTGTCAACCGATCTGTCTTGTCATCCTCTTTCTCGTGGTTCCTCCCTCGGTTCCCCTCTACCCATTGGCGGTATCTCAAGTACTCACCTCCCCATTCATTCTGTCCCTCACTCTCTTCCTGTCCACCGCCCCCCCTTGCCTGCTCAGCTGTGGAGTGAACCAGCAGGGCTACTGGGGCATGCAGGGGTGGCAGTACGGCTCGTGGGCAGCAGGAGGCGTGCTGGGGCTGGGAATGTACAGCCCCTTCCTCTGGCAGCTCACCTCCTTTGATGCCGCAACCACCGTGGCGGTGTGCTTGGAGAAACCCACGCCCACCAAGGAGACGGGGGGGGATGGCAAGGTGCCGCTGCAGACAGGCAGCAGCCATCTCACCATCGGAGCCACCGGCCTCCCTGCCGGCGCCAGCTACGCCACCATGTAACCCCGCTCCACGCCCTCTCGTGCTCTCACGCTCTCTTGTGCCTCATTTTAATCATCCACCCAAATTCATCCATCCATCCATCCATCCATCCATCCATCCATCCATCCATCCATCCATCCATCCATCCATCCATCCATCCATCCATCCATCCATCCATCATCCATCCATCCATCCATCCATCCATCCATCCATCCATCCATCCATCCATCCATCCATCCATCCATCCATCCATCCATCCATCCATCCATCCATTTATCTATCCATCCATCCATCCATCTGTCCACCCACCCATCCACCCACCCATCCACCCACCCATCCACCCACCCATCCACCCACCTCATGTCTGTTACACCCCTGTGCAATTCCTCCACTCCACGCAGGGATCAGTATAATGGCATGCAGTACAGCGAGATCACACTCACCATGGGCACAGGCACGGACGACTTCCGCTACATCACAGACGACTACACCAACCTAGACCGAGACCCTGCCGACCCCATCACGCCGGGCTTCTTCTTCATGCCCGAGTCCTTCGTGCACCTCCTGCGCTACCCTCTCTTCATGAACCTTATCAACACGGTATGTTCCTTCCCCTCACCCTGTGCCTGTGCCTGTGCCTGCCTGCGTGCCTGAGAGCCTGGCAGTACCAAGGTATGCATGTGAAGCCTGGCCAAGTCCAACCAAGGGCTGCTTTGACCAGCCGTTCGTATTCTCCTGGCCTGCTTCATTTCTATGTGCACCCCACTTGCAAGAGGCATGTATTGAGTTGACTCGCATGAGCCATAGCTACTTGGCTGAACAAGAAATCCAAAGAACAAGTTGTGCAAAAGTGGACTTGGTCTGTGCTCCTTCATCCACGAATATCATTGTGACAGCAGTCTGGTTCTTCACATAGGCAAGTGGCTTGAAAGTGGCTTGAAAGTGGCTTGAAAGTGGCTTGAAAGTGGCTTGAAAGTGGCTTGAATTCTTGCCTAAAGGCTTCGGCCGATCCAGGCGGATGACATTGTCAGGTGGGGAGTTTGGCTGGGGCGGCACATCCTCAGTTCCACCTGTCAATATTACCTTGAGAATTCTCAGAAGTGACTTTCAAAAGGATGCCAAAGTTGGAAAAGTCTGGAGTCCATGTTTCAGCTGCCACCAGCTTTCTCTTGGTCCGCATCCTGTGCGCGTGACTCAAAATCTGAAAATATGCCATGTAACCCAGCCTCACTTTCCATCGAACTCTGGGCATAGACTGGACTGAGCTGGGCTGGCCATGCGGCATGTTCCTTGACCCCTTTCACGTCTCTCCCGTGACCCCATTCACACCTTCACACCCACTTCTAAACTTCCTTTTCTCCACCTACTCCAGCCCTGCCCTTTTCATGCCTTCTCAGCCCACTTGACTGAGTCTCGTGTCAGGGCCTTTTAATGAGCACGCCGAGTCACCGAATGGCTTGCTTGGTTGATTCGACGCTCGTCAAGGCTGTTCCCCAATCCCATGCGCCCTCCGCAGGTTTCAGCTACTGTGTACTGCATCTTGGCTACGCCTCTTCGTGCTGACTCTGCCTATCAAAACTACATTGGAGGTGCGACGGTTATGCACATCTGCTCTCCTTTCTCTACAGGCCTCATGCTAGCACCCTTCTTTCCCCTTCCTTCACCGAACTAGCTCTGCTGTGCTGTGCTGGCCATCCTCTGCCATCTATCCACCCACCACCCGCTCCTCACAACACGCCTACCATCCGCTTACCATCCGCCTACCAGCGGATGCAAGATGATAGTTTGGTTGAGCAAGCAGGGATTGCTGCATTGAATATTACTGTTGAGGATGCCACAAAGCGGGAGGCCATATGGGCTCTGATATTATCGCTAAACCCTAAACCCTGCCCTTCCCACTTCCCTGCTCCCATCCCAACCCCACTCTTTTCTCTCTGCCACCCGCTGTGGATGCATGCGGCGGTGCTGAGCAGAACCAGGGCTGATCGGCAAGTACCTCTTTCTCGACTACGGCTATTTGACTGCAGGATGGATGAATGCCCCTCACTGTAAGCTGCTGCTCACCCTGCCCACAATGCCTGCCTTCCCTTCTCTCTCCCCAGCACATGCGATCGTTCTTGCCCCTAAAGTCTTATTATTTCAAGCTCCTTCCTGCGGATTAACTCTCTCCTGCACCCTGTTACTGCTATTGATGTGGTTTGTTAGCAACAGATATTGCATTCCCACCAGACACCAAATGTTTCTGTCTCCACCATAAAATCATAACCATTGTCTGCCTCCACCACTGGCTCCTGTCAGCCAACTTCTAATGTTCTTCTAATGTGCGTTTCTTGCTCGCTTTCTTCCCACTCGCCTCATCCCTCTTATCAATACTCAACTCATCTCTTCTCCCCTCTCCTCTCTCCTCGCCTCTCCTCTCCTCTCTTCTCCTCCCTCCTCTCCTCTCCTCTCCTCTCTCCTCCCCTCCCCTCCTATCCCCTCTCCTCTCCTCTCCTCTCCTCCCCTCTCCTCTCCTCTCCACTCTTTCCCCCTCTTCCCTTCCCCCTCATCTCAACAGGTGGAACCGAGCCTCTGCTGCCGCCACCCTCCCCTCCTCCACCACCACCACCTTCGCCTGTTTCCAAAGGGGCTGCCCAATCCCTCTCCCCAGTGCCCGCAGCAGTCTCAGCTGCCCTTGTCCTTGCCGCCTCCACCGCCCTGCTTGCTCTCACTCTCCTGTAGAGCATGAGTTCCGCTGGAGCACTTCGAGCCTGGGGTATCTCGTTTGCTCCTGTCCTGCTGGCTAACTTGTGGAAGCTTATCAGGCAGTGTGTACATGTCTCAAGAATTGCTGGATCTAGATTTTGCTGCTCGGATGCTGTGTCTTTTGTTGGGTGAATGGTGTTTCGTAAATAGGGTTTGTACATGTGTGATGCTCGCAGCGGCTGCTTTTGTGCGATATAGAAGCACTTTGTTAGAAGGTTCAGGCCCTGATGGTAGCAACTGGTGATGACTCCACCTGGTGCAATCCAGGAAATGTGTTACCAAGGACCAGTGGAAGAAGTTTACTCAGGTGCAGAAGGAACATAAAGACTTGTCTGAGTTTCTAGACTAAATCTACTTTGTAGCGTAAGAAAAGGGGGCGCAACCACAGCACGCCTTCAGGAATCGAAACCTGACCTTTGCTGCAACATGGAAACGACTGGGAAGTAAGCCGCATCAGGCGAGACCATATAGTAAGTGAGTTAATGCCAAATGGCACTGCGATAGTCCAGCCAGCAGTTAGTAGTACAAGGCCAGTCAGTGATTATAATTAAACAAGATTAAGCCCAGTACAGTGTACAGAGATGAGGTGCTGCGAAGTTTGTGGCGCAAACGAAACCGTTACGCGCCTTCTTGCGTATCAACATATCAAACCTGGTATGCCGGAGGAACGGCACCTCTCATAATAGGCCCTGATTGGTCGGACTGATTGTGGAGAAGATATGACTGGCTGTGATCGTAACAGAACCGAATCCGTTGTGGTCTGGTCCGTCCCAAACCAAACCCAAACCCGAATCTTGCTTGGCGGGACTTGCTGTGTGCATCACAGAGCTATTCCATCACAGATTCACAGACCGCCTGATACATTTTCTGTCTGCCAATCGTCGCATGTGGTCGGGTTGCATCGCACCGCACCCATCGAAGCCACTAGATGTACTGGCTATGAGGTTCGAGAATGCTACGTGCGACCAGCCCACCGCCAGCCGCTCGTTCGTTTGGCCGTCAGTCCTGCGATTTTTGCGAGTGGCTGTGTCGGCTTCACGGCCATATCTGTAGTGACAAGCTTTCGTGCCAAAGCCTTTCGCCTCTACTCGGAGTCCACTCTTTGTGGTAATTATAGCGATTTGCACTAATCTCATTACACTACGTGTGTGTGGAGCATCGTGACGCTCGCACAACGTAAACTTATCCCCGCGGCTACTATGGATTCCTCGTGCCGTGGCGCCTCCCTTTGTCTGCTCGTGTCGCTCCTGCTCCTCTCCCTCAGCGTCATGCGGATCCACGCGCGCCACGGCCCCGAGGTAGGCGTTGCGGACGCTCGTTCGAGCAGAAGTATTACCGGAAATGCCGCAATTCCCAACAGCAGTTCGACTCGCAGGCGATTTCGCAGGCGATGCTAGCATTGCTGGGCACAGTCCCGCGACATGTGGCGCTAGATTAGTAGTTGCAATAAAGTCGCCGCGACATGGTGACTCACATCCTAGGACGCGGCCGCCGCGTGATGTGGCGCTACATGTAGTTCAGAAATCAGATGCATGACTGGCTCACGTTCATGAACAAACGCCGGCGTGAGCAATCTTGGGACCTCAACTTGAAACAGCCTGTTTGAGAGACTAGTAGAAAACGGCTTTGTGGTTACTATTTTTTACAATTTCGCAGGTCGGAGCATCCGGAGGGCGTCGGAACGATCCATCAGCCGGCAGCGGCGGCGGAGGGGCGGCCAACACGGGGAGCGGCGGCGCGGAGTCGATTGCGGAGTGGCGGCGGCGATCAGCGGAAGCAGGCGCGCACTTCTTCCCCCTTCAGCGCGCGGAAGACGCCCCCAGCAGGGACGAGCTGCACCGCCGGATTCTCGGACCCTCTGTGAGTGCGGGGGTGCAGTGGAGTGGAGGGGCCGGGAGCAAGGCGTTGCTGCTGCTTGACCGATTTCACGATATCACAGAGCGTTGCATCCCTCTAGGCTGGCGGACGCAAGAGGAGACAGTAATACACATAATTCTATAATTTTAGTAAATGACGTGACTTGGCTACTTTGCTGCATTGTGTTGTTGCGATTGACGTGCACCCACATGTGCCTCCTCGTTGCTTCATGCTCCCCCCACGATCTCTGGCATGCGCAGGGCGTAGGCGGCGGCTTGAAGAACAAAGGAAATTCACCCAAGTCATCGCAGGTGGGTGGGTGGGTGGGCACTCTCGAAACGACTGCTGCTACTACCATAGCACACTAGTAGTAGGATGGTCTCAGGCTGTTGCTCCTGCATCGGTGGCAGGTGGCTGGCAAGAGGCAGGCGACACGACATTTCACCAGCTGCCCGCCATTCGCCCATTACTAGCCTTGCTGCGAGGTGCAGAGTTGGGACTCATTGCTCCGTTGCTTCTCAGTGCGTCCTCGGGTCTCTCATTTCCCATCGAATTTCTAAACAACAGCCTAGTCGTATCCTGCTGTCAAACAAGCATCTCGCCTGCCCCCTGCCTCTTGAAGCCTGTCTTACTGTTTAGTGTCCGGCTATAAATCGTTGTTCCTACCTTGTTGCGTGCAGAAAAAGGGGTTTCCTCTGCCACTGCTGGACTACGACAGCACACTGCTCTCAATTGCTAATGGCACCCTGGGCAACACCATGGTCAACTACAGCACCTTTCTCGATGACAACAAGATCCGCCTCCCGTACGCTTCGCACCGTGCCCCACTCACTGCACCTCACTCACTGCATCTCACTCGCTGATCTCACGCACTGCACGCCACTCGCTGCACGCATATTTGCTGCGAATCCCATCCCGCTGCCCACAATCAACCAGGCATATCCCATGCGAGTGCTCTTGACACATGCTTGCACTTCCCCTCCCCTCCTGCACGCCGCTGGTTGTCTTGCCTTCTGGCGAAAGATTCTAACAGATGGCTGCCAAGTGAAACATGCCAGCTGCTCCTCTCCTCTCCCTCCCATGCCTGGGGCTTTGGAACCCACTCCACCCATATCCTTTGCCCACTCCATCATGCCGCCCACAGCAACTCCCTCACTCCTCCAAGGGGCGCCCACTCCTCTGCGACCTTGCTGCCCTTTCTCCCCTCCTTCCCCCTCCCCCTCCTCCCCTTTTTCTCCCCTTCCCCTTCCCCCCCTCCTCATTCCACCATTGGGCACATCGCTGCGTGCCTCTCGCTGCATGCCTTCAACCTCCCTCGTCTGTGTCATTTCACCCCTTTCTGCACTTCCTCCCGCCAACCCCCCCCCCCCCCCCCCCCCCCCCCTCACCGTCGCATACCTATCCCCACCAGCGTGTATCCGTACTACGTGAATCTCAAGCTGGGGTCGCAGAAGCAGGAGTTCAGCATGGCGCTCAACCTCGCGATCCCCTTCACTGTTGTGCCCTGCGACTGCCTGCACTGCGGCTCCTCGCGCAAGGGGGTGCGTGGGGCTCCGGCAACCATGCAAGGGGGGAGTGCGAGAGGGGAAGGAGAGGGGAAGGAGAGGGTGGTGATCTGGGACTGGGAGAGGGAGGGTGAACCTGAGCGAGAGAATGAGAGGGAGCGAAAGTGAGGGTGAGGGTGAATGATAGCGCACGTGAGAGTCAGGGTCGGAGTGAGTGCGAGTGAATGTGACGGTCTTTGTCTTTTGGACCCGCCTTTCTCCCCCTTGCCAGTTCTTCCCGCCCCTCTTCCTCCGCCCTTGCCCTCATCCTGCTCCGTGGGTTGAGATCGAGGCACGGCACGGTCACGAATCCCATTATCCCACCCTCTTCCTTACCCCATTCAAGGATTTCGGTGTACACCCCCACGGGCCCCACCAAGGAATTCAATTCATGCATGTCCTTGGATGAAGTTTATTTAGCCTGTTCAAGCCACATGCCTCCCTCCCATTCCTTGTGAAGTGAAGACACACACATGAATGATAAGTCCAGTCACGTTGCATCCCCGTTTTCGTTACAACGAAACACTTTAATCCAATCTTGCTTCTAGCCTCACTTTCCCTAAACCTTCCCATCCCCACACATCTCCCCGTGCCCGTACCTCCACCCCCCAACGACTCCTTCCCCTCTCCCTCGCCCCGCAGACCACCAACAGCAAGCCCTTCAGCACGCTCTCCTCCACAACCCTTGAGTACATCTCCTGCGCCGATCAACGCTGCATGGACGGAAACGGCTACTACGGCTGCAACACGGATGGGCTCAGTAACTACCTCAACACCACGGGCTACCTGCCTGGGGACGACGCTCTCTGTGCCTTCGATGCATATGCAGAGAGCTACGATTATTACGAAGCTGACTATGAGTCGGGATGGTACTCTAAGTCTGTGGGCCATGTGGTGCAGGACACGGTGTACCTCACTGCACCTGACGGTACCGAAGTCAACCGATCCTTGATTCTCGGGTGAGACTCCATGCTGCTCCCTCACGTGGTTCGTCTCTCACCCTCTCCCATACTTCTTCTCTCTCTCACGTGGTTCTACTCTCACTCATTCTCTCGTCCAACCTCTCAATCAGTTCCTCACCGCTTCCCTCGTGCTGCCTCTCACCCTCCTGCTCTCTGCCGCCTCCCATCGCTTGCCCAGCTGTGGAGTGAACCAGACGGGCCAGTGGGGCATGCAGGGGTGGCAGTACGGCTCGTGGTCAGCAGGAGGCGTGCTGGGGCTGGGGTGGGATAGCCCCTTTCTTGAGCAGCTCACCTCAAGCACTAGCGCCTTCGCGGTGTGTTTGGAGGAGCCGACGCCGACGAACAAGACGGGGTGGGATGGCAAGGTGCCGCTGCAGACAGGCAGCAGCCATCTCACCATCGGAGCCACCGGCCTCCCTGCCGGCGCCAGCTACGCCACCATGTAATGATTTTGTAATCACTCCTTGACGCCGCCTCCCTTGCTCTCTTTCTCTTTGCCTCCCTGCCGGCGCCAGCTATGCCACCATGTAATGATGATCACCCTGCTGCTGCTCCACGCCCTCCCGTGCTCCCTCTCTCTCGCTTCCCACCTGCTTCCTCGCTCTTATTCTCT